GGGGGGGTTGGATCTAATCTCCAACGCAAACACAACTTGGACAATCCGCTACGTGGCGCTTGGAATTATGTGTCACGACGTGGTGGGATCAGACGTTCGTCAATTCTTCGGGCATGTGGAGTTATTGGTACATGTATTATCTCAAAACCTGTTCATCTGTCTTGCTTTTGATAACACAATATCAGTTTCTCTTTGATACAAGTTGATATATTTGCCATTGAAGAGGGTGGGGGTCGCCTGGTTCCAGAGCTGAAAACTGCGATAAAATAGCAGCCAAAGTTAAGTATTTCTTTAGCTTGAGAGTCCGCAGACACTGAAAATTTACATTTTTGGGGGGCTTCAATCAACGTTTTTCAGTATAATCAACACATAAAAGCGTTCTTTGATGAACATAAAAAAGTGACGAGCCAAAAAATGAAAATTAGATAAAGTTCCCAAACCTGAGAGAAAATGCCACTTTTTTTTCACTCTCATCATTTTGACGAGCGCCTGATCGCATATTATTATAACTTGAGCTTTTTGTCCCCGCGCTCACTGTCTCATTCTCTCTTGACACTTTTCCACTCACTGTATAATAGAAGTGAGACAAGTTTAGAGCGGTGAATTTAGATCTTATAACCGCATGGAAATGAGATCTAGTATGTATAGATTTGAAAATTAATATAAACGTTTAGCTTCGTGGGGAAATCAGGCGCTCGGTAATCTTTTTTTAGCCAAATACCTCGCAAATCAATTTTAAAACATGTCTTTGCGGATGCTACTAAAACTCAAAACAAAAAGCACACACACATGTGAATGTGCAGTTCCCAGCGACACTCAAGCTCGCCTAACATTGGCGGCCATTTTCTCGTTATTGTTACATCTGATATCAGGCGACCCAATATTTTTAATAGGAAATATCCCGACCTCTATTCAAAACAAATGAATAATTATTGTTTTCTTCAAAAGAAAACCAAAAGGGACAAGCTTTGAGATGACAGAGAAGACTGTACAATAACACGCTCAACACTCGAAGGGTGCCGGACACCACAGAGTTGTGACACAATACACACAGTGCAGGTACAAAACTCTGCACTACAGGTGATATTCGTCATTTGCTGGCGAATATTACGTTGACATCATATCACGGGAGGGGGTAGGGTGTGTGCGGATATGGCTGATCAGGTCGATCTTCGCTCGCTCGGAAATGTCTGTTGTAGTGGGGGCAGGGGATGTTAGTGGCTGAACTAGACTGGAAGATAGGGCTCTCTCGGTCTTTTCTCAGCTGCCGTCTCCATTCTTTATTTCTGGTGCATCTTTCGAGGGTGATAATAGGTAATTGGGGTAATGAAGTCATGACTTGCACTTGAATTTGATTTAAGTGAGGAAGAGTCGCGCAACGTCGTCAGCCTCACTCTCTTGTCCCCGTCCATCTGGGTCCGGTTGCACGACGGAATCGAGACGGCCGGAGATGGCTGCTAATGAAGTTTGACAAAGTGTCAAAGAGATGGAGAGATGGAAAATGTTAGTTTTGTATCAATGGCAGCAGTTATTATTGATTCACAACAAGGTGTGCTGTCAAAATAGGACGTCATGGAGAGCCAAATTGGTCGCTTTTGATGAAGCACAAGGATGCTATCCCGAAAAA